TATCACAATGCTATACTTAAATTGTTGTAGTAAAATGCGCGAAACCTTCGGGTTACCAAAGAGCTTCGTTTGCCAATATGTAAGTGGAATGTAATAAGTACTGTGGTACAACAGATGGTGGTCAACCAACATTTATCAGAGTGAAGATTATAATGCATGCTTTCTTATACGTAACAGTGATGTATTTGGCCGCAAATAAATAAAAGATATACTATGATCTCCTATACATAGACTATAGGAAATTCTTCCAGCTGTATCAAATCAACCCAAATAGGGTTATTTCTAGGTTGACCAGGAGTTTTTTAGAGTGTAACTGTATCAAGTACGAATACTTTAATTAGCAGTTAACCAAAACCTTTTTGTGCTGTTTGAACTATTCTCAGCATTCGATCGTGATCAAATGTTCTCAAAGGGCCGTCCCCGTGTTGTCAAATAACTAAATTCGGTCGTGTAACGGTTGTGCTTCATATTCCTATCTTTTCCATATTAATTAATTTATTCTGGCGCCAGCTTTTCCGATCACTAGGTTAGTACTGCGTTGTTTAAAAACCTGAGCTCCATATATATCTGGAACAAGAACTTCAGTCGTTCGGCCTAGATGTCTTCAGTCGTTCGGCCTAGATGAGAAAAGTGAAGCCAAGATGGCGTCCAATAGCTCTGAAGGTCGCAAACAGCTTTTATACCATTTTCCCCAGCTAATTCCAGGTTTTTTTTCTAACGGACCATATCACTAACCGAGTTATCAGTTCATAAAACCATAATGTCGTTCTTTAAATCCACGTTAAAATACGAAATTTCAGTATACACTCCTTGCCAAGATGACGGAAATTGAAGGAGCTATTGGACGTCCGTTCCAGTCCCTTTCTATTGTTTTTGTCTGCGCGGTTAACATGAAGCTGGCTTCACTTTTTGGACTCGAGTTCTCGCTCCAGATATATATGGAGCTCACTGAAAAACCTTCCTCTAATCGGAGTCTGGTCAGAACAGCTGCAACACGACGCCATTTGTGACAAAACAAAACATATTATGCATTATGAATTATACCCTAATCAAACAATCACATTTTCGGAGAATGCCTAGATACCACTGTTGACATCCGTAAGCAGGGAATAGATAAAGGGTATGCAAGGTCCAAGCACTTAAATTACTTAATAATGTGAGTGACTTGGCTAGCAACGGGCAAAACATTGTTATGCGTTAATTAGGCCCGGTTCAGACGGCAAACCTTTCATGCGCCAAACCTAATACAACTATAAGTACGACAGAATTTCGGCAAGTTTTGATTAGGTTCGACACGGCACAAAATACCGCAAGTCATGTCTTTTTTTAACGTACGTAGACGCATAACTTTATTTAACGTACATTTTCATATGATTATAATATATTAATCTAATATAGTGTAGTGTACTTGTATTTTGGCACGAACTTGTGCCGCATTTAATTTGACTGGCTCGACGCATGAAACGTTCGCCGCTTTAGCCGATTCCAAGTCATTAAAAGGATATCTGCTGTAAACACAGGGGGAGGGGGCCGGGGTGTACAGGTATAAACTGCCCGCTAATTTTGTTAACAAGGGACAGCAAATCATTAAAGCAATCTAACCAAGGAACCCAATTTACCCAAAATGTCCAAACACATCGATAAAACAAAACGTATTTGTTCCGGCCATACTATTCAAATGGAGATAACAGTATAGGGGGGAGGGAGGTCAAGGCCACAGAACATAAGTTGCAAAGTGCCACATTCATCGATGGGTTAAACGGTTGAAGATAGAACAGCTGGAAGCAACATTAAATATTAAATAGCCAAGCAAAGAGAGAAAATACAACATTGAAAAAGAAGTTGCCTGTAAATGAACTAACCCAATTCAGGCAAATTCTATGTTTGTAAGATATTACTTTATATAATTAATGCACTGTTACAGTAAAGCATTGTAAGTAAACGAGCAAGAGTGTTTTATTGCAATTTTAAAACCATTAGCACTAGTACATGATTTAAATATTAAAGGCAATAGCATAATAAAACATGCAGTGTAAACGACTCTATAAAACGTGAAATAGACAACTGTATGGACTATGTATGACACATTGTAAGTGATATGCCTGACAGGCAAAATGCTCCAGAATTATTAATGAGCCTTTAAACAGCTTTTGCCAGCCAATGTTAAAAAGAAACTGACATACAGTAACATAATGCGAAGATATAAAATTATATGCTGCTACATGTATGTTTATTGCACTTTTTGAACAAGAGAATAAAAGTTAATGATAAATGTTAATGTGGGAAGGTATAGTCATCCGGCCTGCATAAAGAACATCCAAGACAGCTTCAAGTTATAGGTCCAAACACAATAAAGAAACTAAGGCAACGTACATGTCTGACACTGAATTCAGGATTCAGTTGTGTCAGCTTTCAAATGATTTGCGATATATTTTCTTGACAACATTTTAATACAGTAGCTTATTTGATATACCAAACTTTGCCAAAAAAGTGCCTTTCGTCAAAGTTTTAACAGGTTTTATCATATTGGAACATTTCCCTCTTTGGTTGTTTACCTGATCAGGATGAAATACTTTGAAATTCTTGTTTCACAGTCTAGCTGAGTCAAAATCTAATCCTATTAGAGTAAGACTTTCAAGTCACAGCAATTACCTAATTGACATATCATTTAACTCATTTTCTGCACTATCTTAACATTATCTACTAAGCCTAGACTCCACAATTTATGTAAAGTGACTTGCATGTTCACAAATGGCTAAACAGCAGTTTATATATATACATGGAGCTATATGTATACCATGCAGAAGTCATCTTAAAAAATGAGAAGAAGCTCAATGTTTTCATATTCCTAACTAGATGTGGGATTCTAGATTTTCATGGTGGATACCGGATTTCAAGTTTCTAGAAGAGTCCCACTGCATAGTGAGCACTAACAAATTTTTAACATTTCAAACCCTGCTGTGTAACATGTATTCTGTGATAAAGAGAGAAATTTCCAGACTGTCCATCTGCCACTAAGCTAGAATATTATCATTTTTAAAAAAAACACCACAGCAATATCAAGACTAATAATACAAATAAAGCCAGAATAAAACATTAACCCATTACAGCCAGCATGCACTCTCCCCTTGATAAGTAAAATTGTTAGTGATTGGCCGATAATCGGTATCGGGCCGATTTTTTCCTTATCGGCAGACAATTATTGTCTAAAACCAATTGTTGAGAATTAAAATACACACTTTAAAAATTTTATGCATTGCACATTGATATATGCTCCATTTTAACACAATATGTGAAATTATGCGTGAAGCGTGCCATTTATCTTTGGTTGCGGTAACATTTTACTTTGGAAGTTATCGTTAAAAAATCGACATGAATGACATCACCTTTACTTGGTCAACTGATATTATGACGTCACTATAAAATCGGCATCAGGTAGATTGTGCGATTGTTGCACAATCGGTCAATCACTAAAACTTGTCTGCTATTGGACAGAGTGAGATAATAAAATAGGATGCATCAGGGCACATTGTCTCTTAAAAGGGATGCATTTGTATATGCATTTGTTTGTGTATTTGGTATAATTGAAGATTTGTAACATCCAAGACATTTAATGCTTGAGCATATTTTTGCTCATTTATTTAAATAGGATGTCAAGGCTGCCTCAATTGTTTTTCCATGCATTAGTTCATAGTCCTGTCTAAAGAGTTTTGATGTGGAAGCATTGGTTGCCACTGCTTTGAAATCAATGGAATGGCGATCAAGAATTAAAATTCCAACAGCAACCCTTGCCTAGATATTGCATCTTACAATACTGTATGGCAAAAATAATGAATCTGTTCAGTATTTTCAGTACTGAGCATGCACAACTGCATAAAAAGTACAGTAGAAAAATTTCCTTGTTTTCAAGCTTCAACTTGGTAGGTCAAAATATATTGGTATGAGTTTTCATAAAGCTATTTCTTTCCTCGATACTCCACAGATCTGTTCTCTGACACTCACCTGTGGTTGAGAATCTTAGTTTTCTAATGCTATTCACATAATATACATTTCACACTACATCTTCAAATGGATTATAAATATCAAAATAATATATGGAAACTAATATGTGGAAGGAAGTACATAAACACACGCATCATTTCGATAGATTTCACTAACAACATACACAAAATACTTACTCTCACGTTGCTCAACTAAGTTTCTGAAATACTTGGCACAGAAATCGACACAGTCTTGTGGCTGTTCTCTCAAAACCTCCCGCGCTAAACCTTCGAGTAGCGCTTGAAACCCTGAAGGTACTCTGAGCTTATTCGGAGCGTACGAAACAGACATGTCCTTCATGGGCTCGCGAAGGAAAGGAACTCTTTAGAATATGTCAAAATACACTTGATGTTATCTATAATATGTAGTAGACGTAGTTATAAAATAATTATGCCATAGCAACGAAAATGCTAATAATTTACACTATAATATCCATATTGTGTAGCAACAAATCGCAACCAGAAATCCAGAAATATTTACCAAACATATCTTGATCTTCCACTTTTCCAAATAAATTTCATAAATTGAGATGAAGTTTTAAATGTTAGGAAATGTTTAAGTGGAAGTGCTGGAATTCATATAATTTTTTAAAATTTTTCGAAATCGAAAGCAGGAAATATAAACTCGTACACTTTGTAAAGTTTGTTAATAAGCTGATTATATTTGGTAGTATTTGGCTTCAGTCTTTGTCTAAAAGGGAGTTTTGTATTTCTTGTAAAAGGTATGAGCATCGATCGAGCAGTTGTAAAATTTAATATTCTAATTATTCTATCATTAAAGTCAGAGGCCAGTAGTCCAGTATGTGTCATACTGTCTATGGTCATGTGTCACAGTATGATTAAGTCTATAACAAACGCTATATTTATATAGGTCACGCTTATGATGATAAATAATATTATTTCCAAGTTATACATGGAAAGACCAGAGGCGTAGCCATGGGAGGGGAGAATGGAGGCCCGGTGTCACAGCGGATTTGGACTCCCTGCGGATATGGACCCTTCGCAGTCCATATCCCAGGGCTGCCAACTCTCCCGGATTATCCGGGAGTCTCAAGATTTTGGACCTAATCTCCCAGTCTCCAGATTTTGTCTTAATTCTCCCGGATTAGGATAATCACCAACATCGATTTATGCACTAGCCATTTGATTCTTCGTTGTCAAAGGTTTTAACAATAAAAATTATTTGCGTTGCACATTTGTTTTGTTGGTAAAAATAAAATTCTTTCGTTGCTGGCTGCGTTGCTTTTAATCAGCGGTTGAATGGCACCATTTTCCGTAAACACTTCATCTTACAGGGATTTTTTAACCCGTATTGATGCCATTAAAGATGTGGATATTTTATTAAACTAGTACATAATATTGTGAAACTTGAAATCAACAGTTATTTGTGTTCAGGGATGCCGGAACTGGGGGGGCAGGGGGGCGGCTGCCCCCCCTGCCTTTTGCTAGGGGGGCAGAAGTGCCCTTTTAGTTTTAAAATAGTACGCGATAAATCACATTTCCAACGATGCTTTTTGTAGGAAAATCATGAGATTCTGGAAAAAATTTTGACCCCTAAAATGGTACACTGACCGCAATTTTTTTTTGGGGGGGGGGGACGTCGCCCCAAAAAAATTCATATCAATTCTCCAGATTTGAAAACTTCCAGGGTTGGCAGCCCTGCCATATCCGCTAGCGGATTCGGACCCCTACTGTACATATCTGCTAGCTGATATGTACCCCTTCTGCGGAATTGGACCAGAAAGAAGAAATTTTTAATTCTACGAGTAATTATAGATTATATAATTATATTTATTATTTATTTCAAAAATTCCTGGTTTCTGATTGGCTAACAGCCAACTGTGAAATTGTCATATCAACTCAGTGGCTAACAAAATATGGATTTTTCACATTCATATTAGCAAAATGACGTCAAAGAGTCAATATGAAAAAAATTTGGACGTGTTTGTGCCATATGACGACGAGAATCATATTGACTCACTGACGCCATTGATATGATGACGGCTGCTGAAGGACTAAGGAATTTTTTTTTTCTTAATACAAATAAAATACAAATGTTTGTTTTTAATTTTTTAAATATATAATAAAACAATTATTGAATTTGGTTTTCGCTTATATGAAGAATTGTCAAGCCCTCAGTTTGCCGTTATCAACCTCAGCCTTCGGCTTCGGTTGATAACGGCAAACTTCGGGCTTGATAATTCTTCATATCAGCAATACCATTAACTGAAATAGAGAACAAGATAATTGAAAGGGTTAATTCGTATAAGGTACTCTGGATCGATTTTACGTTGCAGTAATTAGACCAATGCTCGAATATGGGGCTCGGGTCTGGAATGGCGGAATTACAAAGGACCAAAGTAATGAAATTGAACGAATCCAAAAACGAGCGGAAAATAATTTATAAGGAAGATGATTACGATAAAGTTTTACGTATAGCAAAAATAGAAAGTTTGGAGAAACGACGCGATCGAATGTGCATTGAATTAATCAAAGAAATGTCGAAGCCTAACCATAAATTACACAGTTTATTACCCAAGAAAATGTGTGAAGTCAGGAAGAGGACAACGAGGCTGAACAATCAAATGTACTATAATTTTGTAAAACCGAACGTTTTAAGAGTAGCCCAATCAGCTATGCTGTTAGCAAGTACAATGAAACATTGTTTGGGTAGTTTTAGCTTTATACCTTTATAGATATATTTTATACTCCTATTATACATTTTAATATATTTATACTCTTAACATAATCTTATTTCTTGTAATGTACATAACAATTTAGCTTTTAATTGCTATATTATATGTGTGCAAATTTTCTAATAATAATATCGTGCTCAACCTCTTGAATAACAACCTTGTTAAATATATTATGTATATTCTTGAGATCAAAATAACCAGCTTTGCTTTATGCAAACTATATATGTGGTGCCAACAGTGTAATCATAAGTCTTATCGTTCTAAGCTACATACTTGTGCTTAAACTAACGTTCATTTTATGAGAAATGATTTGCAGTTGAATCAGACCTGGAAATAGTTGGTGATCCTGGGAACGACATTCCTAGAAAATGTTTTGATTGCTAGAAAGGATTTTCAAAAGTTTTGAAATTTCTTTAAAAAAAGTTATCCATAAAAATCAACGAAAAGGTTCAAAATTTCCCAAATTTTCTTAGAACTGAAAATTAACGCTGATATAAGTGATCACCTGATGCACAAATCGGTCAAAAAAGGTTTTTTCACTTCAGCATACATAAAAATATTCCTTGACATTTAAATTTCTTTATCATATGACACAACTTGCAAATGTCAAATTAGGTAGTAATAAACGCTTGGTAGTAATAAACGCATCAAATTAGCAATGACAGTGTAATTTTCAAAGAAAATGCCCCCCCTGCCTAAATTTGATAACAGTGTTTTCAAAGAAAATATCAGTTTCCCCCCTGGCCTGGGATCCAACAAAGGCTAGAATTATTTCCAGGTCTGGTTGAATGCATGTGCATGGAAATTTAGGCGTCAGTTTAATTAATTGAAATTATGATTTATCTAATGTACGAGTCAAATCCAACCGCGATCAATCCCCTCCCAGGCAACCCACAGGGAATCCAACTGTGCTCAGTCCCCTCCCAGGCAACTCCCGAACAGGCAGAAACCACAGTCAAATGGTCTGCTATAGGGGGTGGTGTGAATAGGGGTATATTACAAATCCGCCGATCCGCCCAAATTTGAAGCAAAATCCGCGATCCGACAATGGTCCTGTCTAAATTTGAATCCGCTAAAAGCTCTACTATGAAGTCACAATCCAGGATCCGAACTAAATTGCAAGCTAAATCCACAATCCGAGCCAAAATATTAGATGAATCCGCAATCCGCTGTATTAATAATATCCGCAAATCTGTGTAAAATATCCGCCAGATCGCCGATTTTTCTGTGAAATCTGTCGATCCGAAAACCTATTCACGCCCCCCATAGAAAGGTCCTGGTTCTGGAATTTTGGCTAAAATTAAATTGAACAAGTATTTCAAGATTAAATTAAAGAACGAAAAAAGCGGTTAATAATCGTTCCATGTTTTGCGCACCAATATAGGTAAGGGTTAGAGGTTACTATGTGTTAGGGTTAGGGGTTAGGTTTTAGGGTTAGGGGTTAGGGTGTGTATATATGTGTATGGAGGTATCCAGTTAACTTTTCAGTACACTATAAATATAATAATATCCATTACATAATAGTGCTGTGCAAACTCCGGTTTTTCAGCTCCGGCCGAATTATAGTTCTGAGCTCCGGCTCCGGCCACATCATAAAATATTAAATAAATATTTTAATATTTTACGATCAGAGAACATTTATTAATATTATTATGAATAACTCTTT